GGGGTGAGACTGTGTTGTAAAATGGGTGGTGGTTGTTTTTCACAAACATTCGAGGAGGATTTTAGATGTTCAACTGTAAAAGTTGTGAACATGTAAAACCACAAGAGCACATCCTTGTACGGATTCCCTGGGATTTGTCCTGAAGAAGCATATCTCTGCCACCGTGGGGAGAGTGGTGCTGGGACCCCGCCCCTCCTTGGCTCTACTGTGGTCCAGTTTGGGACCCAGTATCTTTTCCTCGTTAACTCACATACCATGCAATGCCTCCCTTTAAAGTAGGTAAGTCAACGATCTTCAGTAACTTACAGCATTGTACAACCATCACCAACAATCCTGTTTGAGAATGTTTCCATCCACCCAAAACCCTTTCCCTGTTCCCACCCCCAGGCCCGGGCTGACCCGCTTCTTGTCTGTAGATTTGCTCATTCTGCATGTTTCCTGTAAACAGAACCATACTCCATGACGTGGTCTTCGTGACTGGCTTCCTCCACTTAGCAAAATGTTTTTGAGGGTCACCCGCGTCATAGAGCGTTTACTTTATTCCTTTTTTGGCTGGACCACATCTCATCCGTGTATCCACACACCACGTTTTGTTTATCCGTCTGTTCACCAGTTGATGGATACTTGGGTTGTTTCCAGCTTGGGCTTGTGATGGTTAATGCTCCATGAATGTGTGCGCGGTCTGTGTGTTAACAGATGTTTTCCTCCTTCCTGTGTGGAGACCCATGAGGGGAATTGCCAGGTCAGGCAGCCAAGGTTAACTTTGTGAGGAGCTGCCCTGCTTTTCCAGAAAGGCCCCAGCAGCTCACGTCCCCGTGGTGGTGTCCGAGGGCTCCTGTTTCTCTACATCCTCCCTGACCCTTGTTACCATCTGTCTTTTTGATTGGCGCTGTCCTTTGTCTTTTTGGGTGATGCTGTGGCCTGCTTGGGGTCAGGGAAGGGCAGGAAGGACTTAAAGGTGCAGAGGATAGAGCTCCCAAGAATAGACGAGTGAGAGGAGGAGCAGGAGAGCAGATTCCCCTCCGGCGGGGAGTCTCTGGTCCCCTCTTAGGGACCACTCCAGGGAGTAGGTTACAGTGAAGACACGTGGGGCTCAGTCGGGAGGGCTGGGGAGGCCTCGCTGGACCGTCCTGGATGTTGACAGTTTCCCAGAGGAAACTACAGTCTCCAATGAGGCTGGTGAGGAGGGAGCAGCATTTCCTTTTTGGACAGTTCGGTCCTGCCACCGCCCAAGCTGGGGTGGGTGAGAAGATGCCCCGGGGTTGTCCGTCGGTGACCCATTTGGCCGTGTCTGCTACAGAGCAGGCAGGGCAGTGCCTGGTCCTCAGCGCCTGCCCCATCCTCACCGCCTCCCTGGCCGGTCGCACAGGGCCATCTTCCAGGCAGACCTTGGGGCAACTGTGCACCAGGCTTACCACCCACATTTGTTCCTTGGAGGCCCCCCCTTGCCCAGCCCTAGGAGAGATAAACGGGGACCTGGACCTTCCTCCTGGGAAGACAGGTGTGAGCAGGCCCTGTGCCCACCCAGGCCCTGTCTCTGAGCAGTTGGCGTATTCCGTGCCGAGATCCCGAGAGCGGCCCTGGGTTTTCCCTCAACTGCCGTTTTCCGCCCCTCTCCCTTCCATGGTCCCCACTTGTTTACTTCCCTGTGCTTTCAATAGCCCAGGAGAGAGCGTGCCAGCCTTGAGTGGTGTTGGGGCTGGACGGAACCGAGGCACGGCCTCACCGTTGTGTTATTCTCATGCTGCTTCCGCTCTGCTCAGCACGCTCTGTTTGTTGGAGCCGAGCCAGCCTGGGGACCGTCTTCCCACTGGAGCCACCTGGGCAGCGCCGTGGCCCAGGTCTGCACTCTGGGGTCTAGTGCGCGGCCCGGCCTCTGGGGCCCGGTGGAGGTGGGGCTGGACATCGGTGCTGGGGGTGGATGGTGGCACCAAACCCCCTTGTCACTAGGCCAACTGGCTGTGCTCTGGGGGCTGTGGGATGTTCTCCCACCCGAGTCCAGCCCCGGCAGTGCCTGCCGTGATGGGGTCACTGGCTGCGGGGAGGTGGGGGGTTGTCCCCTGAGCACGTCTGCCCTGAGGCAGACTGGCCAGGCAGACATGGGTTACTCAGCGCCTCCAAAGTCACCGACAGGAAACCAGCCACTTGAGAAGGAAGCTTGGCTTTTCTGAGCTTTGGAGAAAATAGTGACGCATCGGAATTCCCAAAACCAATAGGCTGCTGGTGGGGGTGTTTTTCCCATACAAACAAAAAGTAGAACTCAGGGGTGATGGGAAACTTTTACCTTGGCTAGACTGCAGGGGCGGGGCTTCCCGAGAAGCCTGCTCAAAAGGCAGAGGAGACCGGGAGCTCGCCACACTGCTGCCCATCGCACTCCTGCCCTGCCACGCTCCTGTCCATTGCGCTTCTGTCCATCACACCCCTGCCCTGCTGCCAACCCCTCGAGCAGCAGGGCTGAGGATGCGAGAGACGCCATGTGCAGCCGCCCTGCAGGGCTTCCTGCGGTACCTCCACCCCAGCCGGGCAGGCCGGAGACGGGTGGCCTCTGTCGAAAAGCACCTATGTGCTTGCGGCACCACCCTGTGGACACACATCCGAAGCCTCGTGTGCAAGAGCAAGGTGGGCCTGTGGGTGGGCCGGGGATTCCTGGGTGGGTGGTACCAGGCAGGGTCCCTGCCGCCCGGTGTCGGGCTCTGTTCCCTTCCCTGTCCCTCTGCTGGTCAGCTGGGGCTGGGCTGTGTGTGCCAGTCTCTGTCCTGGGAAGAGGGGAGGGGAGAGGGGCTTAGTGATTACCATTCTTTGCAGGGAAAGGAAAGGTATCTTTCTGCTGCCATGTCTCCCTGTTTACAACTGCCAGATGTGGAGGGAAACCGTCCCTTTCCTTGGGAGCAGGAAGAACTGTGCCTGCCCCCTTCCTTCCTGGGTGGCCAGGACACAGGAGCTGGGGGTGAGGGACCAGGAGTGCGCGTCCTTCCCTCCCGCCACACCTGGTCTGGTTGAGAGCTGGGAGCTCCACTGGCCCCAGAGCTGTGAGGGCCCTGGTGTCACCCCCCTGCACGCACCCTCCCCCAGAGGAGGTGTGACCCCAGCTGGGTGTCGGGAAGCACCATGTGGGAGTGTTCTGTGACTGCTGTCTGCTCACAGACCTGCCCCTCAGGGTGGGGTCCCCACAGCCCAGGAGTGTGGCCCCCGAGACCCTCCTGGAAGAGGAGGGGAACCTGTCACCACGCGGCCCAGGAGGGAGACGCTCTGCCTCCCTCTGTTTGTCTGTGTCAGTCTGGCCATGCGTTTCAGATCCTTGCGAATGGTACCCGGTAGGATCTAGAGGAGAGGTGAGGAAGGCTCGCCCCCAGGAGAACCTGTGATGACCTCTGTGCCGAGCGGGGGCAGGGGGAGGGCCTGGGTGCACACACCTGAGAGGTAGGGCTTCGGGGGCTCGCTTTCCAGCTGCCTCTCCTGCATACGGCCCAGGTGGCTGTCTCCTCTCGGGTCCCTTGTAGTGGATAAACTTGTGATGGCTGTCCTGAGCACACTGTGCGCAGTACCGCCATATGTTGGGGTGGGGTGCACGCGTGTGCAGCAATCATGAAGTGTGGTCCTGCTCTTAAGCAGCTTTCTAGTAGCAGAAATGAACCATCACCCAGAGCAAGCGGTGAAATCCCGGGGCACCGTGCAAGGAGTGCCAGGTTACGTGGTGTCGGATGGTGGCTCCCTGACCTCGCTTCATACGAGAATCACCTGGGCAGTTTTTGGTTGTGCTGCTGTCAATTCTGTGGAGACTGGGGAGGTATTTCTTTAACAAGAACTCCCAGGTGCTTATTCGTCCAGCCCAACCCGCTGGTATAGAACATGTGCTCCCCAGAACAGGGGAAATGGAGCCCTTGTGGACAGGGGACACGCAGCCTGACCAGGAAGGTCAGGGCATCTTACAGCAGCACAGTCAGGTGACACTAAACAGCAGGGTCTCGAGGACCGGCACTCAGACAGCACTCGATGGGATAGAAGCGAGAGGGGCTGCAGGGAGCCTTTGTCCAGCCCCCTCGCCAGTGGCATGATTTGGAGCTGGGCTCCGGGTCCTTCTGGGCCTGACTCTGAGCCATGGGCCTGGCCTGGACTGGAGACCCCGCCTGCACGGGCTCCCACAGCCAGAGCTCAGGGCAGTGTCCCCAGCTCTTGGATGACACACCCCCAGGAAGATGCTTTTGAAATCGGGCTTCCCGAAGTGTGTCTAAATCGACTGTTCCGCCTCCTCCGAGCTGCATGAAGCACCTCTGATGCCGGGGGGGGGG